TAGGAATATATCTTTAATTTTTCTCGGTCGTAAATTCTGAGAGTCTTTTGTTATTAAGCGATAGTTTCCTAGTAACAGGTGCATTCCATACGTTTAGCTTACTGTGTGTATAATATGTTAATTACGAGTTGAACTATATATTATATTCATATTGCAGTTCCTCTACCAGATGTTAAACGTTTAAAATTAATTTAAAATATTATTTTAAAGCTTACCTTTATCTATTTTCCCACTGTCCTTAGAAGACATTTCAATCAAACCCTTCACAAAAAAGTATACCCTTTCGGAATGACGCCGGATTCTCCGAAAACTATCTCTGGAGTTTATCAATAAGCCGATACTAACGACACCGACTTATTTCAACGCCGATAACCCGCAAGAAGAGATCGAATCTTTTAAGACCCTCCGATATCGAGACCGATCTTCCTTTGATTGATTAGGAATATAAACAAATGCGATAATGTCAATCGCATTCTTAACGCTTCGTAACCAATTACACTGATTAGCGTTGTAAAATCGGTAAAATCAGAATAAAAAAAAATATTTTGGGTTGGTAATTAAAGAAATTAGTTTCAATATTAGTGACAATAAACTTAGGTTTTTCTTTAATTTTTTTTAAGTCAAAATGACAATGATTTTATTCTATTTGTTTTCTTTATTTCTGTTTTTTTTGCCACTAGCCTTTCGACATTCAGCCAGCTTTAATTACTATGAGCTGTTCAATTATTATTTTGCTGTGCGTTTTATATTAATTATAACTAAACTTAAATTCTAAATCAGAGGAACACAAAGACAACAGACGCAGTAAACACCAATGCCAGGAGCTGGACTCTAGCAATATAGTGCTTACTAAGTAACAAAGAAGACTATAAAGTACGTTTACTGGATCTGTGTATAAAAAAACGAGATTTGGTATGTTAGTATATGACATAAATTTGGATTGATTGACGTATTCAATTGTTTTTGGTCACTTCCTGTTTCACCGGAAATGACTACAACTTTTTGAATACCACCCTTGGTATTTTTTTACTTTATTCGATAAAAACACTCTGAATCGAATGACATATCATATGTCAACTTTGACATATTCGCTCAAAAACAAATTGTATTTTAAATGTCAATCTAGAGTGTCATGACTGTGTTAAAAACACTAATTGTTAATCAAAAAGCCTTGGAAAAATAGATTTGATCGTCTAATGTTTTTAGTGTGTTGTCCTGGCCGGTTAAAAGATGCCCATATCGTATTTTTAATCATATCTCAATTTTTTTAAATGGAACGAGGGTGGCTCATCAGGATATTTGAAAAAATATTTTTTTTACGAACAATTTGATACCACACACTTCGTATTTCGAATCCAATTGTCGTTATGGACCGCATGTTATTATTTCAAATAAACCACATGCAGAAATGTTAAAAGTTGACATATGATATGTAATTCTATTAGGAGTGTTATTTTCTATCGAAAGTAAAAAAATACCGAGGGAGCAATTTAAAAATCAAAAGGTGCAGTCATTTCCGGTGAAAGAGGAAGTGACCGGAAACAATGGAATACGTCACTCAATCCAAATTTATGTCATGTACTAACATACCAAATTTGTATATATATATATTGTAGTGTAACAACCCAAATTCGTCAACAAAGTTGAAGAGGTAATATTTTGGCCAACTGTATAACAAGAAATTTAAAAGAAAGAAAGGAAACTACGTTGTGTTAAATATTTTTTTATTGTGATTACCTCGAATGCGCCTCGACAGAAGCAATATTTTGGGAAATTTGAGGAGAATAGGTTTGATTTGCAAACGCTAAATTTGTAAATAGCCCTACTTATTTTATTAAATGAAATGAAAGGAGTGTCGTACTCTGCCTGGAATTCACATGTAAAAAAGCACGGCAGAGAAAACCATGATCACTATTCCAGAGAATCTAACTATGCTGTCCTGAACTTTAATAAAAGAGAAATAATACTATATAAACTGCCCTCATACCTAGGTTTATAGTTTAATACATTCAAAACATGCCACATTTATATCGTTCAAAACTGAAGAGTTTTTTTGTTAGTTTAACGGGTCCCCACCCGTAGGTATGAAGTCCCTTGTTGCTGAATCGACGCTAAAGTTGAAGGTTTGGTGACAATATCTTTAGAAATTATATATATTAGAATCTTTATAAATTATTCTATTTATTGTTTTTGTTTGCCCTTTTGCGAGCTAAGATATTCGCCCATGCACGGTCGAAAATGGTTAGTACACTCAACAAGGCCCTTATTCTCACAAACCACAAACATCGGCACGAAGGAACAGTAAACGATTTTATTTAGATTACTTTTAAACTAACATTATTTACATCATAAATAGATTCCATTAAATGCATACACATGTTATATATTGTCTTTGTCAGATCAAATGAATAAGGAAAAGCTTTAGAACAGAATTACAACAAGAAAACAAAATAATATGATTTAGTTAACAATAGTTAAATAATGAGAAAACTTTTACTTTACCTTTAATAACATTCTTTGTCACAAAACTCAAGAACCAAAATAATATCAATGCGTCTCGAATGGTAGTCTAGAAGCTATTATCTAACAACTATCATCTCTGGTCGTCGCCTGATTTCCCTCTCCCTAGTTTGTGAATAATATTTTAAAAATCAATAATTTTGTTTATGTATACAGAGTGTCTTAAAAATGAATGTTTTGAATTTAAATAAATATGTCTATTTTTAAATAGGCGGTTCATCTCAATATAAACTAAATCCAGATTTTATAAACAAATTAATTTGTAAAAACTACAATAAAATAATACTTTCTTTTCATTTCTTATGGCTAGCGTGAGAAGATTGTGGAAGCACCAAGGGCATAGAAAGATCGTCCAAATGCAAAGAAAGCAATCTGCTGCAATATCATTTATTGAGTCCATAGTGACTAGAGTCCCATAGAAAAAGCAACAATTGTATCACATGCTGAAGGGGATTCCGATGTCCTTTTTGCGAGAAGCATGTACCTACGTTGTCTCCATCAAATAATTACATCAAAATAAAAGGGGATATTCATATTTTCGTAATTTTGATTGGCCTATGTAGCCTTGATATAAAGAATCTCTTCGGTCTAAAACCAGATGAAGGACATATATCTCAAACACTCTATGGTACTCTTTCTTATAGCCGACAAAATTGTGTCCTGATGCTGATACTAACGACTCTATCTAGTCTTTCACGCGAAATATTGAAGTCACACAACTTCAGCAATGTCTAACAAGGGGAAATTAATATTTCTTAGAGTTTTACAAGGACGATAAGGATGCTGAAGAAACTTATTAGATCTATATATTAAACAACTACATAAAAATCAGACTGCAAAGTACAGACAATTACGTCCTGTAAAAAGTTACACATAACATTGCTTCACTGCACGATAACACTCACTAGGAGTTTTCTTTCTGGTGCAGGAGTGGTTATCCAACCAAACCACATATAATGAGCAAAATAGAAATTCAAACAGATGTGAGCAGAAAAACACACGAAAGGCTCTCGTTCCTGTGTCAACCACTTTGAATTGGACACCGACAAAGTTTAGAACTTTGTAGGGTACCTAGGAGACCTCTTTTGCTCATAATATATTTCAGGTTGCTAAATTGGAAAATCAGTTTAATTCCCTTAACATTATTGCACCTAGTTAATGTAACATAGCCGTACATAAAATATTACAGTTATTTTTATTTTAACAGATATTTACAATAACTCATTTAAAATTGAGACATATATAGTCATAATTGATTTATTTCTATTCAAAAACAATTATGGTGGTAATAACAATTACATAAAATAAACTTGTTAAGTTTCAGTTATACAAATGAGTATTAATCGTATGCCAAAATAGCATGCCAATTAAAAGCAATAAAATATAGAATAATGTCAGGAATAATTATAGTGCTTGTTTTGTAAGTTTTCACAAATCTTAAATTTTGTATTAGCACGAATGGATAATTTTCAATATGAAGGTCTTAAATTGTTTGTGTAGCTATGCTAGTCTGATATTTACATTCAACTCTTCGGCAACACTTTTATTAGACGATAAAATACCCACTTCTGTTTGTCTTGCGGTGTAATGATATATTATTTGGAATTAATTTTAAAGGCCGTAAGTATAAGTGCTGTTTATGTTCATACGTTATAACGAAAATTACTGTAGCATAATTTAAGATATACATGGATTTTTTTACATGGAAGTTTTAAATCATTTTTGTACAGGGTGTGTCAAATTGGACGCTTTTAAAAGGAAACACCCTTTTCTATAGAAGATAGACAAAAACTAATATAGGTGTCTGGAGCTCAATTTTTATCAAAAACATGATGGTGGAAACCGCACATCGATATCTGTTACCGTTTATGAGTTACGGAGTGTTTTTCAAAAATGTGCGGAAGAATTAAAACAGAAAAAAGAATTATCAACAGAAAATTTGATATTTTAAATGGGACACCCTGTATATTTTTAATTAATTGAACATAATTTAAAATTATATATATATATTAGTCGGTTTAGAACGTTTTTCTGCGTTGTCCGATACCCAATTTCCAGCCTGTTCTATTCGTACAATCCTCTGTTGACAGGTTTCTTTCACTCATTGCTTTGTATACGCTTTTTTGCCATTCCAGTTTTGGTCTTCCCTGTTTTCTTCTGCCCTTTGGTTGCCAATTGATTATTTTGTTGGACCATCTAGTGTCTTTTATTCGCTCTACATGTCCGTACCAGATCACCTGCTTTTTCTCTATATCCTGTGTTATCGTACCTTCTATACCCATTTGTTGTTTTATGGTATTATTTCTTATTCGTTGTTGTCTTGAAATTCCCATTGATCTTCGAATGACATCCATTTCTACGGCCTCTATCCTCTTCTTGTATCTCTCAGTTATTCTCCATGTTTCTGCTCCATACAGGAGGTTGCTCTTTATCATGGTTTCATATATATTGAATTTTCTTCGCTTTGTTATTGATTTGCTTCATAAGATTCCATTTAGACATCCGATTATTTTTTTCGCGTTGATAATCCTTTTCTCTATTTCTCTGCCGTCAGTTCCAGTGTTATCAAATGTAATTCCCAGGTACTCATACTCTTGACACTGCTTAATTTCCTGACCGTTGTCCAAGTTCAAGTTTCCTTCTTGTGCGCCTATACATAGATATTTTGTTTTGGCTATGTTAACTGTCAAGCCCCATTCTCCGTATTCTTCAATAAGTTTTCTTAGCATATATTGCATATCGTCTTTGTCATTGGCAACTATTATTTGATCGTCTGCGAATTGAAGTGTGAACAAACATTCATTGTCAATCTCTATGCCCATACCACGGATCTTTCTTTTCCAATTTTTTAAAGCGACAGCAATGTATATTTTAAAGAGAGTAGGGGAGATGCAACAACCTTGACGCAAGCCTTTGTCGGTTATAAATGTTTCTGTAAGCTCTTTTCTTACCTTTACTTTTGATTTTGCGTCCTTATATAGTTCCTTAAGAGCTGTTATATAAGTATGGTTGATCGTAGATTGTTCTAGTACCCTCCATAGTCTTAAAAAAATATAGCACACTTGAAATTTTGCTCGATTCCTCTTCCAGATATAGAGTTTATTAAAATTCGCCCACTTTGAATAAGTGGGGTTTGATCGGCGCCGGCTGTAATGCAAAAAAAATCCAGCCGATAAGCTGCAAATAAAACGAAAATAATATTTGCAATGAGAGATGCAGAATTTTATAACAATTTAAACTATATTTAATGAACATTAACATATTTTAACTATATATCTAATAACAATAAAAATAAATAGCAAACCAAGACATGAGATTTTGCTACAGGTATTCGACATATCGACCGTCTTCTGTTATGGACAGGGCCGTTATTGAACATTTCTTGCGGAATTCATTAACTTAGTGGAGGCGAAAGATACCCTCGAATAACCGCTAAATACTTCTAATTATTGTCTAGATTATACGGGCAATTTAAAAATAAGAACCTTTATTCTTCCCCAAAGATATCCATAGGTCCATAGGATTAGATCCATAGGCACTAAGTCCGGCGGCCTCGATGGCAAACGGCTGGGATCTTGGTTAGCTATTTAATTATTCTCGAAATTTGCTGCAAAAATCTGCTGATAATTTCAGCGTTCTGAAAAATATGTTTTGATTATCCTACTAGCTAAAAGTGACGAACTTATAAAAATTCCGTATTTCGAAGGGGATTATAACAAAATATCAAGTGTGCTATATCTTTGGAAAGGTAATTTTAAGTTCTTTTCAGTTAATCAAAAATATACAGGGTGTCCAATTTGACCCACCCTGTATATTCTTTCTAGCAATAAATAGGGATATAATTTTATTGTTTTATTATTTGGATATAGGCCAGTAAAAACTCTAAATAAAAATTGAAATCTTAAAAATGTTTAAAAATGTACCCCATTATACAAAGTGTCTCAATATTCCGAGGACTACTACATATTTTTGGGATCAAAATAAGTTAATTGGACACAATTTACCTCTATACAAAACGGCTTCAATTGTTATTTAGGCATCAAACTTATTAGCTTGTTATAATGCTAGTTTTGCTAAGCGCTTCAACCGAGGCTTCAACATTTGACTTTGACAAAAAAAAAACAAGAAAAAGTACGGGAACGGTAAAAAGTACCTTCACCGATACATAAATTTTGGTACAAATATTTTCCAACTCTACGAATGGTATACACTGATAAAAAAGATAGACTTGAACTAAAGTCGTCATCGTTCTTGAAAAAAAAAATTAGTGGCAAGAGAATTTATTTCAGCGTAAAAGAAAATATTTTGCCTGAAGAAAAACTCTCTTAACTCAAGAAAACTGGTTCTCTTGAAAAATTCAAAAATTTGTCTTGAATCTATTTTCATGCAACCAAGTGCAAGTTACTTTGTTTTAAGATAATAAGAAAAATACGGTAGGAAGTACTTCATTCAAGAAACATGGCAATTTTTCCAATAGCTAAATACTCTTTTGATCAAAAATAATAACGACACAAAAATCGCACATCATAGTACGCACGACAAATTTTAGGAATATGGATTCTTTAAATGAGTTTCTGAAAAAAATGGAAATTAGAAATTAGAGCATTTACTTGCTATATTTGAAGGTAAGAGACGTTTACCTAATGCACCTGTTTAGATAATGCATGCGTGACTATAGATAGAATAAGAATATAGGTATCGATTTTTTTATACAAATAATTACAAAAATTTTAGAATTTCAAGTCGTCGTATTAAATAATTCAAAATGTGACCAAAGCTTATAATTTTAATAATTTATTTGCTTGAGTGAAGAAGCAGAAATAACTACTATCGAGGAAAATAATATCACTTTACTTACTACAGACCAGGAAAACCTAAATTTATCAGAAAATAATATACCTCGTAATATGCCTGTATATGATGTATAGACTTCTCTTAGATCAAAATAAATTTTAGTTGAGTCAATAGTATTCGCTTTGGTTTAAGAAAAGTGTCTCTTTAATCAAGAAATGTCCCTTTTCAATCAAGAATTTTTGCATGAATCAAAGAGACTATTGTTCTTGTAGCAAGAACTTCTTTGCATATTAATTTTGGGTCAAGAGTGAAATACTTTGGACAGATAGATTCTTCTATTCTCTAAAGTAATTTTTTAAAACTTATGAAAAGATAGTTAATGCTTTGGGCAAAGAAACGTCGTTCTTGGCCCTATTGAAAAGCGCCAATCTTTTGGGTCAAAGTCATATTCATTTCGACTGAGAGATCCTTTTTTTCAGTGTATAGGCATAGAGCAGCCATATGTTAACTTCAATCTCAGTTTATATCTTTTTTTATGAATAGTTCTGGACATTTCTGAAAAAGTATTTATTTAGTATCATTACTTAATGAAATCATTAGAAAACTATGCGTTCCTTTTTTTCCATTCCATAGCTCCAGGCACATACAAAATAAGTAAATACTGCCTATATTATTTAAACTATACACCAGTAGGCAATAAGCTACTATTAAAATATGATATATTTAATAATATTCTTAGAATTCATATAAATTATACTATGTCACTGCCATTCGAACAAATAAATAACAATATATGCAGATTTCTGTCACGCCTTAAGGCTTAATTGATTACATAAAACAGCGTTTTTCTTGACTAAATTAGCCTTTCTAAGAACTGAGAGCATGTTGGCAGTATAAAAATATTTTTAATAAACCAAACGTGTAATTTTCTATTATCAGATTGTCTACCTACCGATATAATCATATTGATACTGTTATAAATGAAAAACAGCCATACACCGCTGCAGTAGCAACAAGTTTTTTAGAAACCTGTCTGGAAATGGCGCAACTAATTAAGACAAGTTTTGTAATGGACTTAGTCATTATCTATATCATGGTGCCACCCCTTTATACTATTATCCAGATAAAAGCAATGTCTACTCCTTTATAAGATCATCCTATTAAATTGATGTGTAAAGGAAAATCCTTAGATTCAATTACCTATTTGATGATTCTAAAATCAACCTTCTTGATTTTGAAACCCGTTTGATTATTCTATACAGGGTGGGCCACTGAAAACTTACAATGGCTATAATTCTTAAACCAAAAGAGATATCAACAAAATAAAAAATACCCTTTCTATAATATCGAGGAGGAATACATATGACGTATTTTTTTAACCACCCCGACCTACCCCTTAGGCGGCACCCCTACTCACTTGAAAATCTTAAATGGCAACACCACACTTGTGGCGCCTTTTTGGAAAGCCCATGAAAAAAGCTAAACGATGATTATAAAGTTTTTAGGGTGAAATTGAAAAACTACCCCTTACACGAAAAATTAGGTGGACATTAATGAAAAAAGTGATTTTTTCAGCATAAGTTACAAATTGGGACCCAACTTAATGAGACAAATGAGGTATTTTTCACACCACCCCGACCCACCTCTAGGTGCAACCCACTCACTTCTAATCTCAAGATAGCGATACCCCACTTGTGACACTTCTTTGGAAAGCTAATTGAAATTGCTAAACGATGGTCATACAGATTTCAACTTCTGTCTTCTTTCAATAATTACTGGTAAGTAGTGATAAGAAATGTAGGTTTGACAATTTGAAAGAAATTTAAAATGATAATTTATTTTAACAATTTCTCAAAATGAGAGCCGTTTTGTTCCATACAAAAATACAAACGATTTTCAAATTCTTCTCTCACTTTTTGGAAAGTCTCTCTCGGAATATTTCGACATGCTTTGCGACATCCTCTGCCGCAATTCTTGCAACGAACCTGGTTTTGTCTTGTAGACTATGGATTTAGTGTAACCCCAAAAGAAAAAGTCTAAAGGAGTGAGATCAGGTAACTTTGGAGGCCACTCGATTGGACCCCTTCTGCCAATCCATTGCCTTGGATAATATCTATCCAACCACCGCCTTGTGACAATAGAATAATGCGGAGGGGCTCCATCTTGGCTGAAAGTGTATGAGGTTTTCATTAAGAGTTAAATTTCCTTCCAAATTTTTTTGATTTTCAACCTCATTTACAATGGCTGGCTCTATCAAATTGTTCAGCATTTCCACATAAGCTATCCTGAATTTGTGCCAGTCAAATTTCCGTCGATAAAAAATGGACCTATAATTTTATCGCCTAGTATTCCGCACCAAACATTGAGCTTTTGGGGATGTTGGGTGTGTCCTTCAACAACAATATGCGGATTCTCATCGCTCCAATATCTACAGTTCAGCTTATTCACAATTACGTTTATAAAAATGAGCACTCATCACTAAAACAAATATTTTTAGTAAGTGAAGGTTCCCTTCGAATTTCCTCCGTCATTAGTTCACAGAACTGAATCCTTCTATCTGGATCGTCGTCGCCAAGTTCCTGCAGAATCTTCATTTTGCAGGGATGGAATTTGTGCATTTTCAATACTCTCCTGACAGATGTTCGAGGTATACATCGACAGATGTTCGAGGTGATTGATGCCAACTGGCGTGTTGATGCTTCTGGATTGACCGATACCTGACCAATAACTTCCATCTGCATTTCTTCATTCAGTACCCTGGGCCCTATCCTCGTTTTATTTTTGATCGACCCAGTTTCTTGAAACTTTAAAATCAAATCTCTAACATAAACGTGACTTACGTTTTTGTCCGGATTTCTCTCATTGAAAGCACGGGCCGTTCTCAAATAACACATACCTTCAGCACCATAAAGAAAAACTATTTGAATTCTTTCTTCCACAGTATAAACTATTTTTCTTTCAAATCAGCGAATCAAATAAACGTTTAAAATACCACCAAATTTGCAAACGATTGAAAATCGATAGAAGA